AGGGGGAAATTACGATCACCTCGGATACGTTGCCATCCTCACCAGGTTGCCGGTCATTGGAGATGCGGTCATCGGATACTCGGGAAAACCCGAAGAAGGCTGGGGCCGCTGATTCTCGATCGTCTGGGACTCGACATGCTGACCCAGACCGAAGTCCAAGGACATGGGAATCCACCACTAGGGTTGTGAAACGGTGCAGTCTGGTCCAGACCAGACCATATATACGGTGTATGGTCCAGACCGAGAGGTTGAAGTATAGACCATAGACCAGACCACAGACTATACGGTCCGGTCCAGACCACGCCTGTGCGGTCTGATTCGGTCTGGTCTGGTCTAGATAGACCACACTCAAAGAAAAATGAATAATTTGTTTAGTCAACCACACAAAAAGTTGAACCAATAACCAAGAAAAATATTTGTTATTTGCATTAAAACATTAATCCTAACATGCATGAATAATTTTGATACCCTAAATCTTAGTACATAACAAAAATACAAAGTAAAAGCATCCCAACTTGCACCATAACGTTATAAACATTAACATAATGTCATATGGAGACATGGTTATCTCTACTCTCCGGTTAAATGTGTTTGTGAATGAAGGAGGGACGAGATTCTCAAAATTAAGGTTGAGACTTGGGTGTCGTTGTGGGAGTTGGGCGACTGATCGTATGGGCTATTAACACGTATTGACAAGTCAGTTGGGTCCACGGTTTGGTCCGGTAAACCGCGGTCTAGACCAGACCAGACCAAGAGTTCAAAACATAAAATAATACAGACCATGAACCAGACCAGACCATACTTAACGGTCTACGGTCCAGACCAAACTGTACGGTACGGTTTGAACCACGGTTTTTCTAACGGTCTGGTCTATTTTCCCGGCCCTATCCACCACTAAATGTGAGGCAAATATAGATCCCGTAGCCCGTTACTCATATCCAAAATGAGGTTTGGCTCGACCCAGATACCCCGGAAGATCAAGTGGAGCGGTATGCACGTGTCTACCTAATTGGCTTGGTTGGTGGATTTCCGTTCCCCGACAAAGCAAATAGGTGGATACATGGCATATGGTTGTCGTTTCTCCTCGATGACTGGGACACGATCGGGAGAAAAATTTGGAGACGAATGGATAGCTTGCGCCAAGAGGATCATCGTGACCAGCATCACCAACATCGTCTTTTCGCTCATGCTAAGTACCCCTAGATCGAATGATGTTCTCAATATCAGCCCACTCTGCCCCCCAAGCAGGAAATTGAATGTCGTCGGGCTCAACGAATGGGGTAGGCTCAGCACATTGCGGGTATTCTTCCCATGTCACCCCTCCTGCAGAATTACCTCCTCCGTAGTTGATTTAACTACCACCCCACCTGTACTCTCCTGCAAAACCATCATCAAAAGAATACTGGTGACAATGAGTTTCACCCACCGCCTCGCTCTCAACATACACCTCTACAAGCCACATCCAGTTGTCAGCTAGGAACAGTAACATCATGGTAACAACGTCATCATCATGTATGACAACTTCTTCGTACATAACCCCGACAACACTCATGTTTGGATACCGGTAAGTAATTTTACCAACTCTCATATGTCTTCCCATACAAATCATGTTTGCACAAATGTCACGGAGTTCTTGCCACATGAATCTAGCTCAATTTTTTACATAATGGATCCACCGTCTTCATAATCGATCTAAATGTCAGAGTTTGTACCCAACCATTCCATCGACACCGAATAAAATGTTGAAACTTCTTGAATTTACCCATGTCTGCAATTTATAATAAGTAACTATTAGCTAAAGTCGAATAAAATTAGTATAGTATAATTAGTACTTGGGGCTACACAAACATTATCCAAAATCATATTTTTAGGGCTACAAAAATATATAATCCAAAACCATAAACAACCGCAACTAACTAATCGAAACATGAACCATAATTAGCATTACAATAACATGAGTATATTAAACAAATTCATCTAAATACATATTTGCCACTAACATTAATTCATTAAATACAGACATATAACTACTAAAATATCAAAATCTAAACAATACATAATTATTTTTTTTCCGTTGAATCTGTTCCCCATTTTATTGAAACCAAGAGGCAAATCCATTTGCAAGATACAAATGGAACCAAATACAACGAAAGGAAAGCTCATGAAGAGCAGCCCTAAAAGACAATCATAGCACTATCAACTTCCTACTACACCCTCCACAGAACTACATACTGTAAGAACCCACCACTACTCAGTACTCCCCTGCAGACCAAGGCTCTGCAAACCCTTCAGAAGCTCTTCATTATCCGCGCAAATGGTCAGCAAGTCACTCTTAAGATCCCTGATAAACACATCCACTAGTTTCCTCTCATTGCCATATAATCGACGACATCGTTCCTTCCATATCCCTGCACAGCAGAGGCACCAAATTAAGCTAGTTATTCTGCTCATCCCCTTCTTTTTGCAGCAGGCAAGACCTGCAGACACAGTATCCTCCCATGACCCACAACAGAGCACCCCCATCCGTAATGCCACTACCACTTGACTGGAAAAACCACACGCAAAAAACAGATGCTCACGGTTTTCAATTGCACTTTCACACAACACACATAATCCATCAGTCTGTTTCCCCCACTTCAACAGCTTCTGCTTAGTGACCACCGCATCCAACATGATCATCCAGGCTAGGAAACTGTTTCTAGGAATGCAATTCTTCCCCCAGACAAGTTTAGCCCAAACAACCTCCACATACTTGACTCTCAATGTATTCCAGACTTCATTCATCTTGAACACAGGCATAGGTTTATTATCCCACATGATCTGCGAGTTATGAATCTTCAAGAAAGGCTGAATTTTACCTCTGAGCTTGAGTATCTTTCTCCAGGCCCAGGAGCTGCTTGGACAATCAGAAACTGTCCAGATACATCGATCCTTGACCTTATAACGTTGGAACCATGCTACCCAGATGGCCCCACTCTTCATGAGGAACAGCCAGAGGAATCTGACTGTACAAGCCCTATTCCAGGTACATAATTCACGCAACCCCAATCCTCCTTCCACTCGAGGTCTAGCCATCCTGTCCCAACTCACCTTAGCACGACCCTCCTCTCCCCCATGCCAGAGAAACCTAGAGCACAACATTTGAACTTGCTTAATAACTTTCTTAGGTAAAATGAATATTTGCATCCAGTAACAATACATAATTATATCATACCAAATAATTGGAGTTTCTGTAACCGTAGTTGCTGGAAGCAAGCTTTTTTTTTGTTGTTGCCAAAAGATACTTCGTATTAAACGAGATAATTAAGATATATTACAGTCAGCTGGCCAACCAGAGCCAGGTACGAAAATCGAACCCCAGTGGCGTAGCCAGGATTTCATTCAAGGTGGGTCCGACGTGAAAATAAAAATATATATGATAAATATAATTAATATTTACATGACCCACGATGTGTTTTTATAGTTTTTCGACCGATTTCGTTTGAGGATGGAGAAATTTACCCTAAATTATAAATTAAAAAACTAAGAATAAACCATTAGAGATGTAGTTTTATGTAAAAATCTAGATTTAATTACATAATATGTAAGGTTAATATGTGCTATAAAGTTTTCTACAATATGTTAGTAGAAAAGTAGTGAACATGAGGGGTTTGATTTTAACATTACGGGTTTCGTACAAATATATATATTGTGAAGTTGCGATTGTTTACTTGAGATTGTTACTTGTATTGTGAGATTTGATTTCGTATTAATATATATATTTAACAATAACAACTTCCAAACAAGCACTTAATCTCGAGCCAAGGTAGGTCCGGGGACCCACCCTCTTCCAAGCTAGCTCCGCCACTGTCGAACCCTATCAAACTAGAGAACAATGAAAGGGCTTTTTTGGCCACCAAATGGGCCACCTTATTACAAGAATAACCAACAAAACAAACAATAGACCGGAGAAAACATTGCCGCAACACCTTAATCTCACTCAAGATCACCCCACCACGAGCATCCGAACACAAGTCCTCCTTCAACTCTTCTAGCACCACCTGAGCATCACCAGCGAAGACGACATCCTGCACACCCATCTCAAGCGCCCACCGGACCTCGTCCCGCAAAGCTGGGAGCTCCACCAAGAAAGGGTCTTGCACATTCGGGTTCAAAGAGGCATCCACCCCAAGCAGCGTCCCTGAGGCATCCTCCAGAACCCAACCACCTGCACCATGAGACCTTGAGCAAACGCCGCCATCCGTGACACCCACACCCAGCCCAATCCCAGGAGCAGGGAAAGACGTAATCCCACTCGAAGGTACCACCTCCCACTTCGTCACCTGTCTATTGAACTGAGAGAGGAGCACCAACAAGTGTAAACAGTGCTGGAAGCAAGCTGAGAATGAGATTTTTGCTTAAATTTGACAGAAATGGGAGAGATTTTTTGAATAGCTACGTGGGGGATCGTTTATTTATATGAGAAAAAGCCAGCAATCACCGCGGTTGTCCAAGGCGGTGAATGCTATGTTTATTTATACTAAACAAATTTAATAGGTGTACTACTTTGGTTTAACGCAATGAATGCTAGGTCGTTGTGACCTAATTATTCACCTACCAGGGCTGGAAAACGTGGCAAATGTTCACCGATCTTCTTAACTACGGTGATGAATTCACCATTTTCTTTAACAACAACGGATTTATTCACCATTTTAGTTTAACGTGGTGATGATTCACCATTTTTCTCAACAATGGTGATATATTCACCGTTCTCCTTAATCGCACTGATGTCGTGTGTAGATTGATAATTCTTTTATAATTTATATATTTTGTGAATTTTATTTAAGAATTAGTGTATTCACGAAAAAATTGGACGGCGCTGATCACTATCACCGAACAAAAAACAACTGTGATTTGACTGATTTCAGACCGCAGAGGAAGGAAAGAGAGAAAAACCGGCACGGCAAGAGAAATATACACAACGAGCGAGGACGGGACAAACCAGCCATTGAAAATGACAAATGAGCCACGCCTTACCTTCCCTCATCCACATCCCTCCTCTCCTTAAACAACCTGACACTGCTCTCCCCTCTATTCCGCACCATTCTTCCCTCCATTGCAACCACTCTGAGCTTCTGTCCTGTGCTTCTAAGGTACTAGTCTCCTTCCCTTCTTCGGAAGTCTTATCCTCATGTGATGTTGGTTGCTTCCTTGCGTGTTGCTCCGCCGCTGAATTCTTTATTTGTTGATTGATTTGGATGAAAACCGAAATCCCATTTGCGTGTTTCCCAAATTGTATCTTAAACTGGGGATACGGAGATGGAAAATTGAAACTGGACGTAAATTAAATTGGGTTGAAGTCTAGCAGGTGTCAGTAAATTAAATATCGGGGCTGATTCCAGTCGCCCCAAGTTCTTACTTGTGCTCTGCAACTTATGTAGAGTTTCTTTGTCAGCTGCCCTTTCTTGTCGCTTCCTGAAACTTTGTAGTAGCTGTCTCCACTAGACTTTAGATGTATGGCTGTTGTTGCTCTAATTAACCAGAAACCCGCTAGCTAATGCCGATTGTTCTTCTTTCTTGTATCCTGTATTAAGTTGGGAAGTGTTTTTCTGCATGGCAATTATTACCATCAGCATCAGTGATTTTCAATATACCAACCTATATGGCTTGTTTTGTTGGTGTTCTTGTTAATTCTTTTCTCTTTCTCGTTGGTACATATTGACTTCTCTTGATATACAGATGACTGCATCATCATCTTGCCTTCTAGGGGATGGTTTATCAACCATAAATGGCAAACCATATTTGTGCAAGGATTTCTATGGTAGACGCCTTCTGCACAGTTCAAGTCTTCCTTCATTGGGTAGGACATCATCAAAAGCATTATTGGTGAAGGCATCTTTGGACAAGAGGTAGTTTGAGGGAGGAAGAGATTTTCTAAAGCTCTTGTTGGAGAATGTGGGACTTGGAGGATCTGCTTTGCTTGGAAATGGGAAAGCTCTTGCCGATGATCAAGGGGTTTCTTCCTCCGGGATGTCTTATTCCAGGTTCTTGGAGTATTTGGATAAGGATAGAGTGAAAAAGGTGGACTTGTTTGAGAATGGGACAATTGCTATTGTTGAGGTTGTTTCACCTGAGCTTGGTAACCGGGTGCAACGAGTCCGCGTACAACTTCCTGGCCTTAGCCAAGAGCTTCTTCAGAAATTCCGAGAAAAGAACATTGACTTGCAGCTCATAATACTCAAGAAGAATCTGGCTCTCTCCTTTTTAACTTGATTGGAAACCTCGCTTTTCCTTTACTCTTGATAGGAGGGCTTTTCCTCCTCTCTCAACGTTCCTCCGGAGGAATGGGTGGTCCTGGGGGCCCTGGTTTCCCCCTCACCTTTGGTTAGTCTAAGGCAAAGTTCCAAATGGAGCCCAACACTGGTGTAACATTTGATGATGTTGCTGGAGTTGACGAAGCAAAGCAAGATTTCATGGAAGTCGTGGAGTTCCTGAAGAAGCCCGAGAGATTCACTGCGGTTGGGGCTCGTATTTCGAAGGGTGTCCTTCTTGTTGGTCCTCCAGGCACTGGTAAGACTCTTCTAGCTAAGGCCATCGCCGGTGAGGCTGGTTTCCCTTTTTTCTCGATATCCGGTTCTGAGTTTGTTGAGATGTTTGTTGGTGCCTCAAGAGTCCGCGATCTCTTCAAAAAGGTAAAGGAGAATGCTCCATGCATTTTCTTTGTTGATGAAATTGATGATGTTGGAAGGCAAAGAGGAACTAGCATTGGTGGAGGGAATGATGAAAGAGAGCAGACCCTAAACCAGCTTTTGACAGAGATGGATGGTTTCGAGGGTAACACTGGCATCATTGTCGTTGCAGCAACCAACAGGGCAGACATTCTTTACTCTGCTCTCTTAAGACCGGGAAGGTTCGACCGACAGGTAAGATAATGACGTCCTAACTCCCTCACTACAAATTATGGTGTTTTGTTTCTCTTCTTTTTACCCCTTGAATTGTTATTGTAAAAGTACTTATGCTAGTGTGCTAAAATGCGCAGGTGTCTGTTGATGTTCCAAATATACATGGTAGAGCTAAAGTTCTCAAAGTTCATTCCAGTAACAAGAAATTTGATGCAGACGTGTCGCTTGATGTCATAGCCATGAGAACACCTGGTTTCAGTGGAGCTGATCTTGCTAACCTCTTAAACGAGGCAACTATCTTAGCTGGTCACCGTGGGAGAACAGCAATTTCACCTAAAGAAATTGATGATTCTATTGATAGGATTGTTGCTGGAATGGAAGGAACTGTAATGATCGATAGGAAGAGTAAAAGTCTTTTGGCATACCATGAAGTCGGCCATGCTATTTGTGGGTAAGCAAAGATACTCGTAATCTGTGTTAATAATCCTTATTAATTCATAGACAGAAGGATCGAATAACATCTGTGTTTCCTGTGCCTTGTATTACTTAGGACGTTGACTCCTGGTCATGATGTCGTTCAAAAGGTCACCCTAGTTCCACGAGGTCAGGCAAGAGGTCTTACTTGGTTTATTCCAAGTGATGATTCAACCCTGATCTCCAAGCAGCAATTGTTTGCCAGAATTGTCGGTGGACTTGGTGAAAGAGCTGCTGAAGAAATTTTCTTCGCTGAGCCTGAGGTGACCACTGGGGAAGCTGGTGACTTGCAACAGATTACTGGTTTGGCCAAGCAGGTACCCCGCTTCAGAATTCTCCTCTACAATTTATTTGACATAGATGGGTTGCTGAGAGGGTGCAAATCTCGACCAGTTAAGCTCACTGAACATCCAGCTAACCCGATCGACCTAAACTATACCAAATCCATTGGATTGGTGGGGTGATAGACTGGCTTGGTGCATTTGTGTGGAAGTGCATTTTAGTACATAAACCTTCAGAGCATTTCTGGTTATGGTTTTATGCAAGACCGTAAAATGACTGTTTACAATCTTGTGCCTGTGTTCAAAATGAAGATGGTGGTGACATTCGGAATGTCAGAGATCGGACCGTGGTCATTGATGGACTCATCGACTCATAGTGCGGACATGATCATGAGAATGATGGCAAGGAACTCAATGTCGGAGAGGCTAGCCGAGGACATAGACAGTGAAGACGATATCAGATCGTGCATACCAGATTGCACTCTCCCACATCAGAACCAATCGGGAGGCAATGGACAAGATCATTGAAGTCCTGCTGGAGAAGGAAACCACGTTGGGTGACGAGTTCCGGGCAATCCTCTCATAATTCGCCGAAATTCCCATCGAGAATAGGGTTCCCCCGGCGGTGCCAACTCCAGTGACTATTTGAATCTGGATGGTTGTACTGCATTCCTCCATAACCGCATGTTTCCTGTTTATCAACCGTTCATCTAATGGTTGTGTAATCTGTAGTACTCTTCGATCGCTGTAATTAGACAATAACTAACATGGATACCTACACTAAGTTATGAGTAAATGAGATACAATAGTCTTTGAACCACACTGACCAATTTTTTTTTTTAAGCACAGCGCATTGTGGCATTTTACGGAAACCATTGTTTGGCACTTTCATGCAAACTAGGGGTGGGCAACCGGTTTGAGTTAACGAACCGAATTAAAACCAAAATTAACCGAACTAAAACCGAATTAATGTTATTCAATTCGGAAGGAAAATATGGATAGCTCTGAAACCGGGGTTCTTTCAACCGTACCGAATTTCCGACCAAAAAATGAAATACTATAATTTCAAGCTCCAAATGGTGGATTTTTATATTTGTAGTTGTTTGAAATGTTTTATGACTTATGTGTTCAAAAGTTTGATTTTATCATTGATGATGCATATAATTGTATATTTATTGTTTATATTAGTGGTGAAAAATAATTAAAAGTGAGAAGATACAAGTAGCTTCACAAATTCTGTTTTGTGAAAACTTGAACCAAACCGAATTATAATTTGGTTTGAGGTTTGGGAGAATTCGGGGACCCGGTATTCATAATTTAGGTTCGGTCGAAACTGAACCGACCGAATGCCCACCCCTAATGCAAACATAACACACACATGAACCTTATATGAGTTGGTTGGGTTGTACTCCTGTTGATATGATCCTAATTCGAGAATCCACCCAAACTTGGAACAAAAATCAGAATTGCGCAACGTCGAACTCTTTTGGGGTTTTTTTCTTTCTTCAATGACACAAAAATAAAGGAAAGTCACAGAAATCGATCAAACAGATCCGATCTCGTGAGAAGGGCTAGTTGGTATATTAAACATACCAAACAATCTCGCACCCGTGGATAAGGCCAATCAATATAGTCGATGCTCGCCACAACTAGACGCGTTCTCTAGTTGATAAGAGACCACTCAATTCTCCCAAATTCTCAAAGAAGAGATTAAGCAAAAATGTTCACAAAGGAACTCGAGTAAACACTCAATGTAATTGATATCTGATATCTTGGGTACAAAATTCGTAGGTCTTACCCCCTCTATTTATAGAGGTCACAAAAACATAAATCTAACCTTCTAAGAAAAGGATAATAAATCTCAAACTAAGTAGGAAACATAATACTAATTAAATAAGGACTGAAACTACCAATTAAACTTCTGCATAACCAAAATAAATAATTGAAACAAATTAAACTGCATGTGCTGCTGCGCTAGTCTTCGTGCCCGCTTCGGAACTCTGTGAAAGCTTCCCAATTCCGCCAACCCTCCAATTCCTTGGCTCCCATTAATTTGCCATACTAATTAACCTTCACCATGTGATGAATGTCCTTTAATTAAAGCACACATATTGCTTTCCCACGTAGTCATCCAAATCCATGCATAATAACTTTGTCGTTCACGTGGATGGACTTTGATGGTTGAAGCACCTTTATCCATTAAACATGCTCCCAGTTGATTTTTAAATCGTTGAATTCGAATCTTCATTTTTTGACCACGGGAATTAAATATCGCGCTAGTCAATATCGCATCATTCCCTCTCTCTTGAAGAAGATTCGACCTCGAATCTTTGCAAAAAAAATTCCACTCATATGCGCCCATCTTCTTGGTCTTCGAGCCAACTAGTCTTGGTATTGAGGATTGCATCATTCCCCCTTTCTTAAGGAAAACAAGTCGTCCACGAATTGTATTGACGCAATAATGATGAAAATCCTCCACATATCTCTGAACTCCTCGTCGATTTACCAATCGGGCTTCCTTTTCTGAAATTGTATCTCCAATGATGAAATCAATATGAGCGAATTCTAGAATTTTCAGGCATTCATCTTCATAGATTTCTGGTTTCGCCATGTATTGCTCAACTTCAAGCCGTCCCATAACTGGCACATCAACAAGAACATCTTCTATCTCTTCTTCTGCCTCTTCTAATTATTTTACTTCACTTTTTGGTTCTTCTTGAGATTAAATTAAAGCTTGTGCATCCTCTTAACAAGTGACTATAGTAAGTCCATCAACAAGAACCTCTATTTTCTCCTTCTGCGAGTCCGGAGAGTTGATCGATGATTTGTCTATTTCTAGATTTGCCTGCTCCTCCTCATAGGCTCGTTGTAATTGCCTCCTTTCTTGAGCAACCCCTTCCAGTGATGATGGTGCCAAGGCAAGTTTCTTTTATTGTTGTCTTAAGATGATGTTGTTGGTGCTTCTGCTACGTCGTGCTTGGCGATCATTGTGCCATGGTTTACCAAATACCACATGAGTAAGCTTCATAGGCACGATATCACATTGAATTTGATCCATATAAGACCAGATTTTGATCTCTAAAGGCATTCGTTCAGTCACAAAAATCCAGGCCTTTTCCATCGACAATTGCATAAAGAAAGGGCTAGGATGGCGTTGTGTAGTTAGCCCTAACTTAGCTACTGATCTTGAAATGATCAAATTCGATTTGATCTCTCAATCAATAACCAAAGAACACAACTTCTCTCGAACCCAACAACGAGTATAGAACATATTACCTTGTTCTAGCTCTCACGCCATCGCTTGATCCAAAATTAAACAAGAAACACAAAACAAAACAAATATTTTTTTTCTTCTCTTCCTGTCGAGGCTTTGTGGCCTTAAACTGTCTTTTTTTTTTCAATCACTACCACGTTACAACTAATTATTAAAACAAAACATAAGTTCTATTTTCCTAACGTGAATGGAAAACAAAGAATTTTTTTCTTACCTATTCACGTAACAATAAGACAAACAACCAACTATGTTTTTATTTTTGCCTTTTTTTCTAGAGGTGTTTTTTTTTGCCTTTTCTTGACAATAATTAAACGAAACAAAACAAGAACTAAAAGTAAAGAAAGTTCGTATAAAACACCTTGAAAACTCGTTCTCCACCTATGAGTTTGAACTAGTAATCTTCAAATCGCCGCTCAATTTGAACCGGGCTCTGATACCACTTGATATGATCCTAATTCGAGAATCCACTCAAACTTGGACCAAAAATCAGAATTGTGCAACGTCGAACTCTTTTGGGTTTTTTTTTCTTCTTTCTTCAATGACACGAAAATAAAGGATAGTCGTGGAAATCGATCAAACAGATATGAACTCGTAAGAAGGGCCAGTTGGTATATTAAACCAACTAAACAATCTCGAACCTGTGGATAAGGCCAATCGATATAGTCGATGCTCGCCACAACTAGACGCGTTCTCTAGTTGATAAGAGACCACTCAATTGTCCTGAATCCTCAAATGAGAGATTAAGCAAAAATTTTCACAAAGTAACTCGAGTAAACACTCAATGTAATTGATATATGATATCTTGAGTACAAAATTCGTAGGTCTTACATTCTCTATTATAGAGGTTATAAAAACATAAATCTAACCTTCTAAAAATAGGAAAATAAATCCCAAACTAAGTAGGAAAATAAATCACAAACTAAGTAGGAAACATAATACTAATTAAATAAGGACTAAAACTACCGATTAAACTCCTATATAACCAATGTAAATAATTGAAACAAATTAAACGGCACGTTCTGTTGCGCTAGTTTCCGTGCCCGCTGCGGAACTTTGCGGAAGCTTCCCAATTCCGCCAGCCCTCCAATTCCTTGGCTCCCTTTAATTTGCTATGTTAATTAACCTTCACCATGTGAGCATGAACCAAAGCACTCTTTCTTGATGAATGTCCTTTAATTAAAGCAAACATATTGCTTTCCCACGTGGTCATCCAAATCCATGCATAATGACTTTGCTGTTCACGTGGATGGGCTTTGATGGTTGAAGCGCCTTTATCCATTAAACATGCTCCCAATTGATCTTTAAATCGTTGAATTCGAATCTTCATTTTTGGACCACGGGAATTAAATATCGCGCTAGTCGATATCGCATCACCTGAACATATAGGGATTACTTGCTTAAATCATCACCATCCTGTTACTCTTGAAAGTGTTGTTGACCTCTGTAAGTTCTCTCGAATGTTTAGAATTTTGAAGATTCTTTGCTTCTTTGGTAAATTATTCAAAAAATCTTCAAGATGCTTACGTGCATAATAAACTCAAATAAATAAACACCCGACTAGCTAATGAAAAGATGAGGGAGAGCCGATGGAGAGAGAAGAAAGATGAGGGAGTGACGATAGAGAGAAAAAATTGTATGCAGCTATGCAATGGTCTTATAGAGCTCGGATACCCCATCAATATTTAGCTATATATATGGCTAGCTAAGGGAGGGAGAAGCCAAAGAGTTCATGTTAGCTAAGAAAAAGGAAAGTAGTTCGGGTTGTCTTCCTTAGGACGGGAAAGCGTGGAAGATAAAAAGCAGAACGTGACCGCATTGTCAGACCGAAGGGGATCAAGCGAGCATGGTGACGACCACCAATGGTCCTATCAAAGAAAGGGTGAGGCCTAACTCATATATTAAGGTTAAGGCAAGATAAAGACTACTTACTGATAAGGCATCGTTATCTATCATATTCTAGTTCATTCATGTTAGCCCGTGAATACTAAGGTGCCCAAAGAGTAAGACCACATGACCATGATTTTATGGTGGACTCCCTCCTGACCGTTGAGCCCTCGTTTAGGTACTCATAGAGATGTGAGGCTTGTATAAGAATGTGAAGGAAGGACACAAGTGCTAAGATGCTTTCATCGTCAAAAGAATTACTCTCGACCAGACATATCGAGCGGGTATGGTAGGTAATCCCTGTAAGGAGTTCTATGTTGAAGCTTATAAATATATATAGGAGGAAATGAAGAGGAATGGGGTTCATACAATAGTGCAAAAGCTAAAGACTCCATTGGGAACAATGATTTTGAATAGGTGCATGTTGATTCAAAGTACGATGCATCATTTTGAGATAATAAGGCACTCTCATTTGTCATTTCATATTTAAGGTTCATGCGATAGCCGAGCAACAAGAGGCACACCAATTCCGGAACCGCTTTCATTTCCCCC